GCATATACTCTTAAATGTTTTCTTCTGAAGACAGCTACATTTTATCTTGTATTTAGTTCAGTTACTTAACCGGACTTTTTTTATAGTAGTATAGTATATTCTGCCGATTTAAGTGAGTTCTTTCTAATTAATGGAAAGCAAGTTCAAATCCCATTATGCTTACTTCAGTTTGAGTATTTGAGTAGTATTATCAACCTTCATGTAAGTAGTACTGCTTAATTAAAGTACATTCCTTCAATTTTGTATATAATGAATAGAATGTGGAATCTAGGATGCACATTTCGTCCTAGTTGGAGCTCATCAGTTGGCTTTACCTCTAGTTTTTGTAGTTGATGCATTTGGTTCGAGTCTTGCAATAAACACCAACATTGATGTGTCAGTGCATCCGACTGACAAGTAGTAAATAAAACGAAACGCGCGTCCTGCACATTCCACCGCTAAACACATTCCATCCATTCTATATCACCTTGCGTCACAATGATGATACCAAGGCAAGCCGCACAGAATGCACATAGGTCAGTATTGATCACAAATCAGTCGAAATACCAGGTAATAAAATAACCATTTTATCCATTTTTAGAGTGATCAGTGTTGTGAATAGGTCAACTTTGAATAACAACAACAACAACAACAACCTTACTTTAATATGAAATTAAATCTAATCATATCAGTTGAAAATAATTTGTACATTCTTACTTACATTGGTTTTCTTTTTACTGGCAGTGTATCATCATATTCTTTGTTTGAACAATCATTCTGTTTTTTTAAAGAAAAACAAAAGAGAAATTTGTGAAGTAATATTAATTCCGTAACAATAGAGTTGCGTTTTTACACATTTGAAATAATCAGTCAATCATTGTTAGACCAACCATTAGAAACCTGGAAGCACTGGACAGCCGTTTCTTCCTGGGATGGGACTCATCAGTGGCAGTGCGCATCCATGACTCCTGCACCTCGCAGGATTCGAAACCGGGACCTTCGACACTGTGCGCGAACGCCTAACCAATTGACCACTGGGACGGCACCCGACGGTGTTAATGTCTAACTAACTCTGATTGATCTAGTGATTTTGCGTGACCTCACCCATTTGCCTTTGGTAATTACTGCCTACACCCGACAGGGTTGTGTGTTACAATGCTGATTTAAATATCATAAATCAAAGTGTATAATCTCAAGGATTCGATAGCTTTAATAAATTAGGTTGTTCAATAGTAGTCTGATAAATTATCCTATTTTCTATTTAGTTTGTATGAATATTAACACAATGAAATCTTTATGTGTGGAAAGATCGTTTGGTATCATGGAATTCAACTTCATTTGTTACGAAGGAAAATGATATTTTTACACGTTCTCTAACCTTTGGAGGAATGACAAGAAGAGACGTAAACAGTGAATAAATCCACTGTTCATTATATTGTGCTTCAGTAATGAATTTTAAATATAGTAATCGTTAAAAATCTTAATGAAAATTACGTTATCATCATCAAACACAATTTGTGAATATGGCAACCAATAGAAAACACAATGTGATCTCTTCTTCGATTTCAGTTTGTAATTTAGACATTTGGATGTGGTGTATAATAATTATTGTTTGACAGATTAGATTTTTCTTGTAAAACTCGTTAGTGATAGTGATTTTTTTTTATAAATCCTGTGTAAACAATAAGAGAATGCAAGCTGATCTTCAGTTTTCATAAGGTTCATTATGTTATGACAACCATTAATACTATTAAGGGTGGCCAATTTCTACATGTTCTTAGTCATTGTAATCAGCTCGTCCAGAGAATCGTTACTAAATAGCGTCTGACAGTTTATAAGTCAGAAGGTGAACTTGAAGTGTTGAATACGTTTATTTTGGCACACCACAAATAGGGGATAGCAGATCACAAGTAGACCGGGCAGGCACACTAGCAAATGAATGGGTGGCGAATGTGCGAGTGAATTAATCAGATTAAATGTTTGTATATATACACAGGAAGATATCTGATTCATCGAGATATTTAACAAATTAATATTAAAGCGAATAGGATGAATATATGCGTAGGCGGTAAGCAATGTTCGGTCGTACACTATTTGCGACTACTGTAACTGACGTTTGAATGTTATGTGATAAACTAGTCATAGTATTCATAGTGAAGAAGTAGGATTGAACATTTCTTGTCATGAATGTTCATTGAATATTGAACTTCAGTTCAACGGTACAAAACTCATAATATACGATTAGCCTAATAAATATTCAGATGAAAATGTTTACTTAATGCCTTTGTATGCATATGTTTAAAATTAAATAATTTCTTTGGAAAAAAATTACTGAGATGATAAACTTTTAGAAAATTCAGAAAAATAAATTGAATAGCTCTCAGTAGAGAAAAAGTAGAGCAGGTGTTTTAGTGACTCACATAAAAACTGTACAGATAACGTGCAAACTCAAGACTACTACTAACGAAGTAATACCAGCAAGAATACTAGACGGTCTACTGTCACAAATAAAAAGTACGTAGAAGGAAGCGATGCTGATTGATATACCATAATATTTAAAAGCGAAATTCTTGTTGACCGTTTTTTCATATTGATTGATAACAGTAACATAACTAACTACTGAGTCATGCTGAATAGCCAATGTAATTAATTAACTTCTAAAGCTGTCTTCATTTATTAGCATTCACCAGTAGTTATGTCAAAACTACTGAATGTCGAGAGTGTTATGGTTTTCTATCTATAAAGCTCTCTGGAATATATCGATCAAAGTTTCGGACGAGGGATTTTAAAGTGACTTGCTTATTCATATTACAAATATTTTGAATTTAAACCTTAAATTAAATTGTGGCACGGTGCAGAAACAGTTTTACGCCAGGATCAAACAACCATCCTTCATTTTCTAACTCCAGGTACCTCATCAGTCGATGAAAATAAAATATTCTGTTAAATTAGTAATACCATGAAAGTGACTCATGAGAAGAATGACCAAAAATCGGGCAAAACTGGAAAGGGAGGCGCAAGACAGAGTAGGTTGAAGAATACTGGTCGGCGGCCTATTCTCGATTAGGGGTAACAGGTTTAAGTAAGTAAAGCAATGAAAGTAACTCACTATACTGTGTTCATCCCGGATTATATTTGAATCTGTTTCACATTCTTCATTGATTGCCACAGAAATATCACTGTTTAAATTGGCGTCTTTTGTCATGAGTGTTTGTTCATTAATATTCAGGCAGGATTCTTTTACACATTGTTTCAATGCTGATGAGGCATTCGAATCAAATGTGCGCTTTGAATGTAAACATGCTAATGAATGACTCTTGTTCATATTGATTTCTAAAGATGACCAATTCGAAGTGAATACACATGGATGTGGTAAAGGAAGCCATGAATTCATTGAATGTCTATTATGCAATAGAGTCTCATATTGAGACTTAATGATATCATTAGTAGCCAACATTCTAGAAGAAGAATTATTTAATTCTGAAATTAAAAAAAACCTATCAACAGTATTAAATGCGAAAAAAAACTAGTTTTTGAGTAAAAGCAGCAGATTTATCAAGTATACATATATCAATTACCGTACCTGAAAGTAACGAGAAAAAACACAAATTAATTGACGGCTCGATTCTGCGGCACTTTATCATTTCTCAATTAGAGTTATGGAGATTAGTGTTTTTACACATTTGAAATCATCAATTAATCATTGTTGGAACACCATTAGAAACCTGGAAGCACTGGACAGCCGTTTCGCCTTTGTATGGGAGTTATCAGCAGTGAGCACCCACGACTCGTGCACCTCTCAGGATTTGAACCCGGTACCTTCGGTATTGTGCACAAAAGCCTTACCATTGGAAGTGACCAGGGGAGTTCAACCCTGTCAGGTGTATGCAGTTACTGCCAAAGGCAAATGGGTAATGTCGCGCAAAATCACTAGATCAATCAGAGTTAGACATTAACACCGTTGCATGCCGGCCAAATGGTCCAGAGGTTAGGCGTTCGTGCGCAAGACTGAAGGTCCCGGATTCGAATCCTGCTAGGTGCAGGAGTTGTTGGTGCGCACTGCTGATGAGTCCCATACCAGGACGTAACGGCTGTCCAGTACTTTCAGGTTTTGAATGACGAGCTAACATTGATTGGTGATTTCAACTTTATCAATTGTTGATCAAGTTCCCATATCAGAATAGTTTGTTTTACATTTATAGGCATGGATAAAATGGAATCAGCTGAAAATTCATTGTTCAATGAAGTCGTGTACATTTCAATAATTACTGGTAATTCAGCAATTCAAACTTGAACTTCCTATTAATCAAGTACTGTATTCAGTCCTCCATTCTACTACAGTTTCATCATCATTTAAATATTTTTTCACTTCATAATCAGTTACTATTTTCCAAAAGCAAAGGCTTCTCTTTTCATTGTCAGCAGTTATCAAAAGCAATGCATCAGTCAATGTGTTCAAAAGATATAAGAAATTAGGTCACAACTTGATGTCATTAACTTTTGAGTGCATCAATCATAGGCCCCATCATATATGATACCACAGATATTCCAGCTGTATTTTCATTGTTTAAAACCATTTCTAGGTATTCTCAGAAGTCAGTATCGTTATATTTTAGATCAATCAGAGCTAGACATGAAAACCGTTCGATGCCGGCTCAGAAATCCAATGGTTAGGCGTTCGCGCACAATACTGAAGGTCCCGGTGTCGAATCCTGCTAGGTGCACGAGTCGTGAATGCGCACTGTTGATGAGTCCCATACCAGGACAAAACGGCTGTCCAGTGCTTTCAGGTTTCTAATGGCAGTCTAACACTGATTGATTCACGATTTCAAAAAATGTGTAAAAACACAAATCTCCAAAGCTTTAACTGAAAATTTCTTTATTGTTTCAGTGTGCGAAGGTTTTTACAACTTATTTTTTCCATAAACAATTATTCTCAACTTTTTAGTTGATCAACAAATCATTCAAATTGTAAATTAACTTTTCTTTTTCGAAAATACAAAAACACTGAATACATTTTATATTTGCTATGAACAAAATCGGTCGACAGCAGTGATTTACAATTAACCATCCTAAATAATTTCGTTCATTTATTCACAAAAACGACGGTGACTCAGATAAGAATTTTAAATGTGTTCCATTCAACCGAAAGTACAAGAACCAGTCTCATATTGAATCCACATAAATGATAAAGTACCTGAGTTTATTTACAAATTTACACAAAGTTAAACAAAATATCTATTTTACTACAATATTTATTTCTATCTATTGCATTTATTGTTAAGATATGCATTTTTCTATCCAATTTAAGATGTAATACTAAAAAGTTTTATTGTTATTTCTTAAATAAAATAAATGAACGGATATAAATATATATGTATGCTACTTATAATATCTAAATCCTAAAGTTTCTTGTTAACTAACATGGCAGTCATCAGCAGTGCGCATCCATACCAGGACGAAACGACCGTCCTGGTAAATGTGTCAGTAAAGTGTATCTGTAGTTTCAAAGCGATTCGAGCCGTTCCAGGCAATTCAACCTCATTCATAAATAATTGATCAATGAACAGTAAGTATTCAAGGATCAATTTTTTTAATTTATCTCAATTTGTTAGGTGCACGTAATTGTGCATTGCTTTACATTGTGCATGTTCTATATTTGATGTCGGTTGGTTGATGATGACGAAATAGGGTGATTTATTTTAGACAACACCTACTTGGCATAGGTTTTATTTAGAAAAACAAAACCATTATCAACATGGTGTATCTGTTTTGTAAAACTACTATGCATTAAATAACTAAGTAGACAAAGATGAAATCACGCTGCTCAGAACGAAACGCATCTCATCGGGATTCCAGTGCTAGTGACCAGTCTACCTTGTTCATTTTACCGATAAACTATGAATGGAGCGAAAAGCTGTTCGTGTTTTTTTCAGTCTGATTCCAACCGAATTAGTGAGTTGCTAACTTTGTAAGATATTTGGAGATATTTCTGTGACATAACATGACTCCAATCTTCTGATCAAAGTATAAAATCATCATTTGTATTATGTAAGAAGGTTTACAGCTAAAAACATCTGAGCTTGCAAAAAATACGGATAATTATTTCTGTATCAGATTATAATCTGAACGTAAATAAGAAGCGAAATTTATTAACGGAGTATAGGCCCCTATGACCAACATTCTCTCATTAACTACTCTACCTTGGACCTTTCTTTCCAGTTCTATCTTACCAATACTTTTAAAAACATGGATGTTAAATGAAGATTTGAATTTCAAGGCGATGTGTATACCATGCACTGATTTCAGATGGACAACTTTTTTTAAAACTAATGGGTATTGGATAGAATAGTGCATTAAACAAACTGCTTTATTCACAGTAAAAGTTGATTAGTTTACTTATCTAATGAAACATTATCCATGTGTACATTAAAATTTTATGATTAGCTCACCGGTGGGTGGGATTTTCACGCATACACCACTTACAATTTTTTAACCCAATAACATTTATTTCAAAGTTCGAAGTTGTTTCTTATTATTTTTTATGAACTTGTGATTGTGGTTGAGACCAAAATCAAGTTGACTATGTTTTGAATGAATTAAAATATCAATTTTTTTTCTGTGACTTATTGTTTTCACAAAAAAAAATATAGGGATGAACATTTTGTGTGATTTTTTTTTCACTAGTAAGTTATGAGAAATTCACTGCAACTATTCCCACTTCATAAATTTGCCCAAAATAATAGCGAATATCACTTGCTATGATTTCAAATTAATCATTTTACGAATAATTAAACGTCCACTCTCTCTCTATATATATATTCATAATAACAGTGTAGAGTGTTTTTTTCCATCTTACATAATAAATAAACAACTATTGAATGGAATATGATGAGAACAGAGACATCTGGATGAAAAGAGATTGTGTTCAATGCATTACTTCCATCTTCGTCAATCAATAATCAATAAAAAAACTTTCGTCAAATTATTTATTATTCACTGTATTCCTGATTGTTGTTGTTTTTTCTGAAGAGAGGATTCCAAAGGATTCAAAGTTATCCACAAAATGAAATTCTTTTGCTATAATTTTATACATATGTATATATTGTTGAAGATTGAACTAATTGTTTGAATTTTCTACATTCAATGTTAAATGATGATGAGATGTGAAAGAAAAAAACCATGAAATTGCCTTAATAAAAAGCCTGCTGACTATCTGAATACATTATTCATGGACTGTTTCATAGGTTAATAGTTATTCATTTTATATCTATCTAACTGAAGAATGAATACAGTAAGATCAATTTTTAATTCTAGATTGTTGAATTACTTAAATAATAATAATTCTTTTACTATGTCTTGTTTTCAATAAATGTTCATTAAATTTACATGTATAAATTTTCGCACTGAAGTTGAATTTCCTCTTTCACTAAGATTACATGTAAGGGTGATTAGGGGAGGTTACATTTTATTTAGTTCAGTAAAAAAAATTATTATAAATGATTACATTTCAGTACGAAAGTCCTACCCATTAGTTGTCGGTCCGTTAACTCCAAACTCCAAATAAAATTAAGACTTCTTTATATGTATAGAAAAATAATTTATACCTAACTTGAATGGCTCTGACAAATCTTAATACATTCCAATATTATTATAAAAGGTTCGTAAAGACCGTTACATTTTCACAGTTTACAACGCAGAGTGATCGTCATTGCAAATCGAAACGATTAAACGGTTTTCCTTTCGCGTAGAGCATTTAAAGTAAATGGTGCTAATTTCAAGTCCCTTGATTTAGGTGAGTCTAGCTGACTAGTCTTAAGACAAAATGTGCTTCCTAGATCCCACTTATGATTTAATGACAATATTCAGGTGATCAGCATAGAATTCTTTTCGGGAAATGTGTCACACTGTGTGGTGAACGAGAACACAGGTGGGGCAACCGAATTGTATCTAACGAAAATTACAGAGTTACTCAGTAAAATTGGAAAACCATATCGTAAATCGTTAATTTGCAAATTATCAGTCCATCATATCGAACTGGACTGTTCCTGTTGCAAAACATCATTCCATTGTCACTATTCATGTGTTTCATACAAATTCCATTGTGTTCTAACTGTTCCTTTCTTGATCTTCCTCCATCTTCTGCTGCCAGACATTACGTTGATGCTCACGTCATATACTACTTATAAGTAGCTCGCACCACAATTATACTAACAAATTTAAGGGATCTAGGTCCAAATCATACTGAATATGTTACCTTATCCTGATATTCTGAAAATTTCATTTTAATGCCCAAAATGTTTCAGTTTATTTCTTTCAACATCGAAACTGTTGACTGTGATTCTTACAATAACCAATTGAATTCTGTTTGTTGCTCACAGATGATAAGTTTTACAATATAAAATTTGATCCATTCTTAAAGTGTACATCTTTAATCAACTTATATTTGTGAACATA